GTGCTCTCCGGTGGCGGGCTGTGAGAATGAAGCAGCTTATTCATAGGAACTCGGGGCTCCGCGTCTCCTCATCGTTTAGCCGCAGCTGAGCTGCGTATTTTATTGACAGATTCCGCTTAGTCCTCCTATTGAAGACATTTTAATTCCGTTTAGAAGGGCCGTCGTTCTCAAATAATCCGCTAGCAGCGTAGCTTGTGTGCCATCAATGCAATAATTATGTTGCAATAAGAAAAAAAAACTTTCGTTAATTGAAACAAAAAGCATGCCGTGATAGTACTCTATACTGTAGATGACAATGCTCTATATTGTGCGATTTTATTTTCACTCGCTTACTGACGGCCCTTCGATATAAAGAACAGCAATTCAAGGGTGCGCCTACCTTCAAAACAGCGAGTGTCGCGCCACGTGTAGCCAAGAGGGAAGATAATGCCATGGCAGGAAACACCGATAATAATCGCGCAAAAAAAGCAGAAACACGTTCCGCTAAAAGGTTCTACAGGCTCAGGATGGCACGCGCTCCGCTATTTATGTTTACCTTGACCATGACTGTACCAGGGGCGAATCCAGACCTCCATTTTAGGGGGGGCGGTTCCTCGGTGTAAAACGGCGGGGGGGGGGGGGGGAGAGGGGGAGTGTTTATATTTTTTGTGGAGTTATCGTTTTACTAAACTCTGATAACATAATATAGATCTTGAGAGCTTTTGTATCGGTTTACCTGTCGGGGATGAACTCTTTGAATTAAAACCTTTCAGGTGACCATGCTAGAGGTAAGTATCTCGGAAGTTGTGGTGACGCTATCCTTTCTTAAATTTGGGTTTCAGACCGACACTACGTGAGCAGTCGATTTAGGGCAGCTTAAAGACATTGCCTTGGCAGACATTCTGGTTGGAGCTAGTGCTCAACTGCGGAGGCAACGGGAAGAGTGGCTTAAATCAGCGGAGTAAATACGTTGTAAACAAGCGACAAAAATGGCCCCAAGCAAGTTCGTTGGTTTTTCGCCGTATATTTGGAATGTCCAGAGCGCAGCGCATGCGGCATTGCCAATACGAACTCGTGTTTTCACGTGTTCTGGATGCAACTCGAGAGAACGAAAGCGAATAATTGTTGAATATTTTTGAAAGCATGTTGCAGTTCGGCAACTATAACTTTTAAACTTAGACAAGACCTTAAACCACCAATGAATCCTTCCAAATTATATCCAATTGCACTTTGTCTGGATATTTTCTGTGTGAAAGGAACACTTACTTGTTTCTGGGTATTTAGCTCATTCGTCAGGGTCGAGAGAACAGATGCAGAGATATGATAGGGCAGAGCAGTTGTAAGGTCGGCGAACCTCAACTGGGCTAAAGGCCGATCACGACTGCAGGATGGATGTTTGGGAGTCGGTGTTCACTCGAACGGGCACAGGCACTGTCTATTTACTTTATGTATAGCCGCATCTTTGAAAGGGCTCGTTTTCCCCAAGTCCGTTCGATACACACATATTCGCTCCTGCAAAGCCGCGCGAAAGCTCTGCCGTCAATCCACGGAAGCCGCGTTTGACTGGAAAACACAGCGCCAAGGGGAGACAAGGGGTAGCGGGCGCCTTTCCTAAATTACGTCCCGCCAACCTAAGTTGAAACGGCCTTGTATGCAAATAAATGCCTATGGCGTCGGCTTGAGCACCCCGTGTAAGCAGCCTCCAGCCTTTAGAGTGCTCGTACGGTTTATCTTTCTTTTATTAGCTTCCCGCCACGAGAAGTCGTACCGCCGGCAGTATGAAGCACATTAGAGGAAACATCTCCCCCTTCTGGCGCTCGTCGACTTCTTTCTGTACTCCGCGCTGCGGCGCTGATCCTCAGTGAGGGATGGAGGCGAGGACGAAAGCGGGCTTATGTTTAAGCCAAGGTCGTGGGAAAGTCCGGAGCGTCTTCAGAAGAAGCTCAGACACAGGCTACACTGTACCCAAAGTATTTGCTTCCTCTCTCAGTTGAGAAGAAAAGCAATTTGACACTTGGTTGTACAAGCTGCATCCCCCCCCCCCCCCCTGGAACGTCTCCTCCCGGTACGTCCCCTCCGCACTTCCCTCGGCAATGAGCACACCGTGCCAATAAGATACCTTTAGTGAGCCCGTGGGCGACAGCATCTCAAAGCAAGCCAAAAAAGACATGCCAAAAGACAAGCCCAAAACCACGAAGAAACCATCAAACGAAAAGTGATGAAAAGGCGGCCGCTAGAGAGGAAGGATAATCCGCTACCCTTGAGGAAGGCTGCTTGACGTCTGCGTTTGGGAGCTTTCAAGGCACAAATTTTTCGCAGACAACCCCCAAAGAGAGAGAGGGAGACAGAGAGAGAGAAAGGGGACTAGATATGTTGAAGGTATTTTCCCCTCGTGCTCGACGTGCTGGCCTTGTTTGGAAGTGTGCCTGCAGTCGAGGACCATGATATTTGGTGCGCCTCCCCACTGTCTCTCCACTTCAAAACTCCTGGCGCCGTCCCTGTCGGGAAGACGTACCGTGACCTTGACGGAGATAAACCCCACTTTCGAAGCGCCCAGCAGGCGCGTCCACTCACCGCTAGCTGTTTTAATCTTTTGTTTCTCGCGTCGATTGCTTACGTTTTTTCTTTGAGCTGACGAAGAACCCCGGGGGGGGGGGGGGGGGGGGGGTTGCCTGGCGAGGCGTTTGGGGGGGGCGATCGCCCCCACCGCACTCCCCTTGGATCCGCGACTGGACTGCGCATCTCACAATTTTTTTACTCTTTATGTGTGAATTACGAGAGCTGGTTTTCCGCAAGCTGCGAGTGGAAAGCACACACCCGGACTATGTGAACATTGTGTTACCTTCAAGATCCCTTTTGTAGTCTCCGCTACTTTCGATCACTTATAGCACTTGCAGCCTCCTGAGGGCCACTAGGTTCCACACACTTTGACAAGTCTCTTTTATTCGGCAGTCATATTTATTTCCGAGCAAGATTCATAAGGCAGGAATACATGTCACGATTATGTCAAAGTTTGCAATCACGAGTGCACATTACTTGTGTTTTTTCTTTCAACAAATTTCACAGGTAAGTTAAAGCCAATTGTAACAGGCCTTTGTAAATAAAGATATAAAAACGAGAAAATAAATTTATGATTATTTAGGGTTTCAAGAAACACCCATGCAAACGAATGTAAGCATAACTCTAGTACATAGCTCCGTACGCTTCAGAAGTTGCGTGCAACGCTGCAGAAGCAAAGAATTGCTCAAAGGCATGCTGGAGGAAAGCAAAGCTGCAAAACTGGAGCCACATTAGGGACTCGAACAGCTTTCTGGATGCTGATTATTTCCACCGAAATTCTGGAGAGTGGTCTAAAGCAACCCGCCACAAAGCCAACTAGCAATTCCGCCATCTGGGAGAAGAGCAACAAAGATCACAGTAGAAGGCAGCATTCTTGAACTTTGCAATGGTAAACATAACTTTTTTTAAGTGTTCAAATGAACACTGCACAGTTTATAGATTGTCAGCGTTAAAATTCACCATCTCTAAAGAACACAATATTGCCTTTTCATATACCTTCGATTATTCCAACCACATGCGCATGCTTTATTTTCCTCACTTCACTGCAATATTTGTTTGAAGTTTATAACAGCTTTGTGAGTAGATAGCAAAATACGTAGGCCACAGGTTTTAAGTGTGCATCATTGAAAGCCCATAGATTATTAACTGCTATTTTGCAGAAACATCAATATTAACTAAGTAATGTGAGGCAGTTATATTACACTATACCTCTGAAAAGTAGCTCTCATAAATCACATCTCTCTAGGTCATTCGAAAAGACCTCTTCCGTCTCTCAGAAAAAAAAAAAAAACTCGAGAAAGGATAAATACTGTACACAGGGTGACTTCACTCGTTCACAACTTGGCCTATAGATATTACCTTCATGGCCTTCGTTAACTAAAATTAGCTACCTTAATACACTGGCTTTAATAAATAACTGGAGATTATATATTTCAATGAATAGATAACAAAGAATGCAAAAAATAGGCTGTGTTATATCATCTTTCACCCTATTTCTAGGCAATACGGTAGCAAATTAGAACTCACAAAAACTGCAAGAGCCCCGCAAAAGCCTAAACATCATATGCCTGATCACCACAAGTTGAAGTTTTTCTGCAAAATTCACTGGACCCTTCACCCCGTGTGCAGAATAACTTTTCCTACAATTTCATATGACATATTGGTAACAGTGTTATGTACAATTAAGCCTCTTATAGGTTCTTAATACAATCTTCACTGTATAAGCTTCAATGAAAATGAACTGAACTTCTACATAAGCACGCGGTACATATCTGCTAATAATATTTTTATTTCTGACATTTTGCTGTATATGAAAGACAAGAAACAGAAGGCATAACTGGGCCTGTGTCTGTCCAAAGTAAAATCAAAATATCACTTGTTTCACAATCCATGCCTACAACAAAGCAAATGCTCATTATGCTCTCCACAACTAAAATATTGGGTAGAGGCAAACTAAAAAATGAAAGCCGTTTACAATTCCCTGTAACGCCGGTTAGAGCGCAGCTCTTGAGGAGGAGGATGGAAGCGTGACTTCAGGGGGTCACGTGACTTCAGAAGGGGGTCACGTGACTTCAGAGGGTCACGTGACCTCAGGGGCTCACGTGACCTTTGGGGGTCACGTGACCTGAAGGTGTCACATGACCTTAGGGGGTCACGTGACATCAAGGGGGTCACGTGATTTCAGGGGTCACGTGACCTCAGGGGATCACGTGACTTCTGGGGGTCACGTGACTTTAGGGGGTCACGTGACCTAGGGGTGTCACGTGACCTAGGGGTGTCACGTGACCTGGGTGGGTCACGTGACCACGGGGGGGGTCACGTGACCTCGCGGTTACGCCGACGCCGCTCAAGCCGGAAACGGGCCCCTAAGAGCTGCGCTCTAAAACACCCCTTTGTTCATAACCGGAAAGAGAACAAAAATTAGTGATGGTTCTGGCTCTCAACCTGCAGGGTCTGCACCCCTCCCCCCCTTTTCCCCCCAAAAAAAAAATCAAGATGCACGAACACATCCTTTAGAGTGTGAATAATGCTAAGTATGGGTACTAACCCAATACTTCAAGCATACTCATTGTAAGAGAACTTGTATTTTTGCAACATTAAAGAAAAAATTTCAAAATTTGTAGGTTCTAATACTGGTATAGTCAGGGTTTTAGGCAAGAAAATAAGAACAAAAAGCGAGGCAAGAACGATACATTATGGTATATGAACCGCCACTACAGAATACTACATCTAAAAACCATGCTTGCACAAGACATAATACCGATATTGTAAAAGTCTTGTTCCAAAACAAATAATTTTTAATGCAGCAGAAATGTATTAGAAATACTTCGGTAAAGTACACTTACATCGATCACAAAATAAAATATACAAAAAATTCACATGAATTTAAGCAAATATCGCCACTCCCAACACTCATCCTTCGTTTCAGACAACATCTAATGATACAAATATATCATTACCCACCTAATTATGAAATCAGTGCAAGACTACATAAATAATGTGAATACCTAACAGGGCCAAAATTATGTATGAAAAACCAAAATATTAAACTGGCAACATTCACAGTAGAACTATAAAACCATCAACGTAACATAGACCTGAACGCCATCCCAGCAAGAGAATACATTTATGACTCTTGACAAGTTACGCTCACCCAGGTTTACATCAGGAACGGAATAAAAACTACAACCAGGGGCTGAATTCGAAACAGTGCATGGAAGAGTGTACAAAGGATGCAAAACAAATCGAGGACCTCTTGATTTTCAAATGACCTTGGGGGGTTTCTTTGAGGTCGTCCAGGTTTTTACTCAACCTGAATAGTGCCAGGATAGCTGAACGAAAGATACAAAATGCAAAGTTGAGGATCTCTTGATCTTCTATTGACCTTGGCGGCTCTGCTTCAAGGTCATTGTACAGGTCTACATGACCTTGATGGTGCCAGGATAGCTCAACAACAAAAGATGCAAATTACAAGTTCAAGACCCCTTGATCATCAAATGACCTTGGGGCCTCACTTCAAGGACATGGGCCAGCTCTCTACTTGACCTTGATGGTGCCAGGATAGCTGAAGTCATACTGCTTGCTCTTGAGATAGGTCATCTTGTCCTTTGGTTCGGGCTTCACAGTGGCCACTCCAGTCGAATAGAAGTAGGAGGCGAGCTCAACCGCAATGTTCAGGGAGACCTCGTGAATGCTAGCCAGGGGAGGATAGACTCGCCCTTCCTCAAGGTTACCTTCCGTCACGCAGTCGGCGACGGTCTGCAGAGAAGATGCGCAAAGAGGTCGGTCCATCAATTACACGAGTATGAAACACTAGTGAACATGATCAACTGTAAAGACGCCATCCAAAGATAAAACGGCTGTGTGACAATCTTGAGTAGGGATGTTTCCCACTTTACACAAGCTTACTGGCACTAGTGGGACCCAAGTATACTCACACGCAATGCCCCTGACCAGTGAGCTTCTTTGTCACCGTCTTATTTCAAAGACTCCCCTTTGCAAAACTTGATGACAAAGTTGTGGAGTCGCATTTTTGGTGTTGTCAACAATGCGATCCCCAGGATTTCATGATCATGCTTTGCCATCCACGTGGTTACGATATTTAAATGCGGCTCATACAGTGGCCACAAGCACTGCGTGAGGATTCGACTTCGACTGGTGACAATCCATGCCTCGAAATGCATTCGGGTAGTTGTGGCTGGTGCCCCATTGCTGCGATGATGGGAATAGCCGAACCTTATCAATGTGGGAACCTCAGCACGTGCCCTGCGCTTGCTAAGCTTTGTTTTTCTCGCTTGTTTAATGCAACTGACTTTGCAACAATAAAAAAATCTAGCGCATGTTTTATAAGTTTTGATTGTCCAGGAATAGTTCTGAGATGTATTTACTGAAAGTATGAACATTGTTGCAACACTCTTTTAAGTAATTGCTAACCCGTCTGTGCCGAACTCCAATACACGCCCACGTGCCCACGGAGAAAAAAGATTATTAGGCTAAATATATAGTAGAAATTAAACCTTCCAGTTTTACTCATGATAAAAGAAAAACAACATTGGCTTATCCGCTTACAGCTATGGTTGTAGTACATAATCTATAATTGGTTCCCAAATAAGTACTGTTATTTGATATACCACCAGCAAAGACATTTTTGCATGCATCATCGAATTTGGAAGTGGACGGATGGCGGTTCCGTGGAATATTATAATGTCCATATCTACTCATAACATTTCCTCTTTCAGGATAATGTTTTTTCTTTAATTGATTTTAGGTGCATACACACAGTACACTAGAAGTGAAATAGAGTAGACTCCAAATCAGCAAGCACGAAAGCACCTTAAAAGTTTGTCCGGCTTGTCAGATGTTCAGCTTAACAGAAGTGAACAAAAATATAAAGCTACCGTAAAATACCTAAGAAGCGCCAACCCCACTTTCCCTGAAAATTGGGTCAATCTAGACATGAGCGCTTGTCCGGTCAAATCGGGTGCTTAACATATAATTTGCGGAATTCCAAAATTTGGGAAATATTAATAGTCAGTGCTTGAACGAAGTGGGTGCTTCCGCTGTATTTTAGTATAGGTATATCGAAGTTGCCGCTACATAACAAAAACAACAAAACAGGCTTACAATGAAGAAACACACTTTTAAGCCATACATGTGTCAGTCATTATGCATGCATTCTAGAAACGTTGCAAAGGTTTGATCTTGCTTATGACCAAAAAATACTATAGCACTGTAACCAAGAGATCGACGTCGCCCACCACACTTCTTTATGAATTTCAGATAGCAGAGTGTGGGTGTTAAATCAGCATATAACAGGTAAAATGGGAGAGTGTAATGCCTGTTAAAACTAAACGTTTTAGGGATTTAGTCGGTCCCGCAAAATTTGAAATAAATGATTCAAGCATAATGTGTGAACGCCAGCATCAGTATTACAAGTTTACCAAAAACTCTCTTTACAGCAAAATGGTGGTAAGCTTGCAATACTAACAGAATTCGCATCAGAGATATTTATCGAATTTAAAACCACTGTGCTAGTAAATACTCTTCTTTTTTAATGCGAAAGCATTAACTGTCCCATGGAGCGAAGCCGGCATTATCTGAGGTCTGTAGTAGCGAAAATTGCCACCTAAATACCTATTGGCTGAGTGAAACGGCATCTAAATTGCCATTTTGGCTGAGCGAAATGGGACGTAAACTCCCACTAACTGCAAAACGGACGCGCCTCACAAAAAAAAATACAAAGTAGAGCACAGCAACGCCGATGCCTCGTCACGGAAACCGGTGGGGCGCTCAAGGTCAAAGGTGACGCGCCTCAGAAATAAAACACAAAGTAAAGCACAGCAACGCAGATGCATCGTCACGGAAGCCGTGGAGCCGGCGGGAGTGCCGCGCCTGCGCAGTGAGGGAGCGTGATGTCACCCATGGAGCGCCGCGTGAAAAGGGAGGACGTAGCGAGCTACATGTAGGAGTGAGCTGCGTGTAGGAATGCTTTCGCGATTCTGCACGTAAGCAGTCTTATGTGTCTTCGTTTAATGTTTTAAACTTGCCCTTAATACAGCCTGAGGACCGGTGGTAGGGCCAAGGAAAGAGAGGCAAGTTTAAAGATTAAGATAACTGTTTTCTACGGAAAGGGAAGGCTGAGTCAGTGGGACGGGCGGAAGCAACTGGAAGAGAAGAACGGGGGCTTGGAGAAACTTGAGGCGAATAGGCGATGTCAGCAGGCAGGGCCGAGGGCAAGAGCGAGTATAGTTTATGAGGTGACGAGTAAGGTTAGAGCCGCGGCGAAGAAGTCGTCTGTCGGAGCTGTCGAGCAAAGTCCAGCTGGCTGGTGTTTACATTTGGTTCATGGGTAGAACCGGAGGACGAGGATAATGGTCGGTCGGTCTGAGCGGTAGGGGCTCGTTGAATGTAGAGGACTCGGGTTGCGCAGAGCAATTTAGAAGGAAAGAACGCAGCGAGGGCGGCAGAGGAGATGGAAGGATAACAGACGGCTATAGTTAATATATGCTCATATCAGAGTGCATCTATAGTACTGCAATTCGGAGTAAAGCCAGCAATTTTTTCTGAACTTTACCGAAATTTTCTAAGCTATCTGAACTAACTGCATTTTCAAAGTGCCCGTGCCATTTCTTATACCTTGAAACATTTCTTCCAAGCATGGTATGTGTAAATTTATGTGTAAATTCGGAAAACCTACGTAGTGAGGAAACGGCAAATGAAGGTGGTTTCAAAGTCTAACTCGTGGTTAGCTCAGTTGGTAGAGCGCTCCACTGGAAATGGAGAGGTCTCTGGTTCGATGCCAGGACCAGGCAGATTTTTCAGCGCAAACAAGTCACCTATAACTGTGTTTGAAGATTTCTGTGTGTTTTTTGTCCCCCTTGCCCACCGCCTAATTCGAAAAAAAACCTAATTTTGTGCATCACGCACGGACAAATGTGCTTATAATTCGCTCACCTCCAGTTCACTCTAGGTCGAATTAACCAATATTTTATATTTAAAGATCGAAATGACAAGTTTTTTTCTTTATGCTGTAGAAATAAATGGGCTTTTGTCAGGACCCTTGAACTGGGCAGAATTAAACGGTAAATCAAACTAACTGCTGTCAAATTAAGGCAAGTCGACGATCAGGTAACTGGCCAAAGAAAGAGTAAAACACACTCGGGACGAGTTTGTTTCATTCTTTCTTTTGCCAGTCAATGTTACCAACACGCTCTCCAGTTAATGTGAACTTCAGTTACTAGTTCAGCTTTTTTCGCTGAAGTGTTAATAAACAGGCGAATGATCGACCATCACATTGTGGTGCAAAATGGCGTAACACCAAGCGGACCCGAGTCGACACGGCAGTGAAAAGCCAGACAGCAGCAGCGCCTACCTTGGCAGCGATGAGGAAGACCTCGTCGCTGATGGTGGTGACGCCGCAGGCCGACACGGCGAGGGCAATGCCCGGGAAGATGTAGGCGTTGTTGCCCTGGCCCGGGTGGAACGTCTTGCCCTTGTACCGGAACGCCGGGAACGGGCTGCCGCTGGCAAAGACGCACTTGCCCTGGAAACATGCGAATGCGACACAACCAAGACTCAAACCACAGCACGGGCCCGTCCTCTAGGATTATAAACCTGCATTCCATTTTAACCCAATTACAACGAGCTTTGGGCATTGACCAGGCAGCGCCACCACACCTGGCACGACAGCACCATCTTATGCCGCATTTTTGCACTCTTGGGGCGGTAACAAACCAACCACCCCACGGTGGACCAGTGTGTTGAAAGCATCGAGTCATGCCAGTGTGTTGCTTGCCAGTTAAGGCCACTCCTTGACATTTTTTGCATTAGCTATTGAACAGGTTACTAAAATGCTACAGAGCTGGGCAGCTTCTGTCATGAAACATCACTGCTACAACATAAAATCTGCAGTGAAAGTTCCAACTCCACCATGAGCTCTCTACCTTCGATCATACATAAGCATCTCGTAAACATGCGCAGCCAAAGCATGGCGGAAGGCAGTGAGTGTTTACTGGAGGCAGAGCTTCTCCCGCAAACCTTATGTTGCAACAAACTATAATCCTACTACGGGAAAGTTCATCAAACACTGTTCGCAGACATTACAAATGCACATTGTTAGCAACATTTTTTACATATGAGTAGGGTTCCGTGCTTTCGGAGTAATCCGATAAACACCGAAAAACGCTCGCCAGTAAAATTTTTGACAATTCGGATTATCCGAAAAAGCCTGAATTTCGAGGCCACAATGGCAACATAATAATCCACAAAAAACTGTATTTTATTAATAAAGTTTATCAGAGCACACAGTTAGTGGTCCTAAAAAAAGGCCAATTCAGTTCTGTTTTTAATTTAAAAGCCCTGCAAAAGACAAGGAGTAAGATGAAGAGATACAACACAAGGCCCACTCGCCACTGTAGTTTATTCGGAATGTACATGCCTAATATAGGCCCCTAACAACCTGTCAGTCACCAACGTGTCGGTCTATGCTTGTCTCATATATTCAAATTGTTTCTTTTATAGTGTGACTGACGCCTCACTAACGGAATCTACACCCTTATCCCAAATTTCATCACCGTCGTGCCAGAGCATCTGCTACAATGAATGGCGAGATGACCAGACGGGCACGCTCGCGGTTCTGTCCGTCTAGCCAATGTAGACAGCGCCTCAAGAAAGAGGTATATCGTAAACAAATCGTGAGGCACGCTCAGCAAACTTAGTTGTGTTTTTGCTGCAGGGTTGCCCGGGGTTGTTGACTGACTGTTTCGGGGCTACTGATTTTATGGCAAAGTCAAACCATCCGATTGGGAGCTGAGAAAACCACAGAAACTTTGTAACGCTGGGACAATTTTTTTAGATTGTGTGAAACTAAGCATAAGTACAAAACAATTTTTTTTTATTTTTTTTTTTATACTGGACTATTGACAAAGAGGAGTTTCACGTTCATCTCCTCATCTCCTCAAGGTTCGTTCAATATAATTGGCGCATGTATTCTTGAACCACGACAAACGCCACCGTTGCTGTTTCCGGTTTGGAAACTGCAACGAAACTGATGCGTGCTTCTCAGAGCGCGGACGGGTTGCTTTTAAAACAGTGAAAAATCTGCACCTGTGGATTTTATAGGATAGAGTAGCTGAAAGTTTTATGCGTCCAGAGATTTTGCCTATTTCAAAGTATCAACATTTACTGAAGTAACACTTAAGATTTGTCGTGGGACATTTAGTACTGTCAGTCGCAAAGGGCTGCAATGCCAAATGCAGCTGCAGAAATATATTTCTATACCGGTGAAGTTTTAATAAATCTAGTGTACGTTTTTGCCCGGACATTATTTATTCTTATTAATGTGAAAGCATTAACTGTCCCATGGAGCGAGCCGACGTCATCAGCCACGCCAAACGGCAGATAAATCCCCGAAGCCGCGATCTGAGGCATACCAGGTTTGAAACCACGAAAAAAGCCACGCAAAATGGCAGTGATATGAAGCCGCCTTGCGTCAGTTTCAATTAGCGCGATCCCATGGCGCTGTGTGCCCGCGCCAGAGCAGAAAGGGCCGAGGTGCCGAGAGCACCGAGACGATAAGAAGCGGCCGCGGCGCCGAGTAGGTCAGAAGCGACCGCGGCGCGAAAAACGACATTCATGCTTTCGCATTCACAACTCATAAGAAGTGCTTAGGTGTACCTCGAGCCTTTTTCTTAAAAAAATTACACAGTAGGATTAAACTGCGAATTTCTGAGAATTCGGTATCTAACAAAAACTAAACTCCGATAAACCCCGAATTTCTAGTGTAAGCTAAACTCCGAAAACCACCCTCCGCATTTCACAAAGCATAAACTCCGAAAACACAGAATCCTACATATGAGTATCACATACCCAGCATGTTTGTGAACAAGCGGTAGTACATACTGCGGAAGATTAGATCGCCCAATAGCTCCATCGTTTTGTCGGCTAGCAGTGTTGCCTGTTCGTTCGATTAGCGCAACTAGACTGCAGAAACTTTATACAGATATGGCGAATACTTTTACAAGCAATGCAAATTTAATGCAGTTTTAATGTACGTAAATGTAATCTACAGATAAAACTGATAAGTTTAGCAATACGAGAAGTAGTGAATATCTCGTCAACTAAAACAATTCTATTTACTACTCAAAAAACTAAAAGTTTTTTGTTCCGCTCCTTTACAAAGTTGGCAATTCGCAGACCCCTTGGCCAAGGCAATGTCGAAAAACCACTCACGTCAGTGTAGGTGTAAGCGTGTTCGGCGGTGCATTCGGCCTTGTGAGTGGGGTTGCTCAAGGCAAACACCACGGGCCTCTCGGCATTTTCGCACATGCACTCCAGGATCTCTTTGTTGAAGGCATTGCTCTGGGCAGAGGCACCTGCAGCACAACGGCGCATATCATCGAAAGAAGTCCACACGAATTCCAAAAACAGACCCCTGACAACTGCCTCCACCCGATGCCGACGCCTATATTGCCGGCACCACACCAGCACACACCTCTCCACAGATATCATGACTCCTACTGGCTCGATTATGATCGTCATGCAGTGAGGTATCCTAAGTAGGTCACCACTAATCGCCGACATAGCACGTATGTGCAAAAGACTCGTGCGGTTGAATGTATGTTAACAACGCACTACAAAGAGCACAATATCATTGTTGTCCCTTCCTGCAAGACTAATAGTTTTAAATAGCGTCCTATTGGTTGAACAATTTGGACGATTGATTTACCTATTTCGCAAAGGTACATGCACCAATTCTAGAAAAGTGGTCTGTTTGTCAAGTCTCAGAGGAATGAGCTGCCAAACAAATATGCTGTCATAAATCGTTAAAATATTGTCAGTTCACACGTGCTTCAGCACCGCATCATATAACTGGTGCGTTGCGGCTTTTACTATACCCGTTATTAAAGGCAAACCGGCATGGGTCTCCGGCCTATGCGCCGTACTGATGACTCTCCCCACTCAAAATAACTAAAATTAAATTGAGTTAAAAACATCCTGGCCTTGAATGATTAGGCAGGAGTTAGAATGTCAAAGTAGTCTTCTTTTCTTAGCTATCGTCCCTGCAATTAGATCTCCTTGTACTTTCATGAATTAATAGTTTCCTTGACTCTCGTGTGCAATACACAGCCATTAAAGATCATGAATCAAACCTAACAAGGGTCACCTCAGGTGTACCACAGGGATTCGTCTTTGGTCCGTTGCTTTTAGAGCGCAACTCTTAGGCGCCCGTTTTCGGCTTGAGCGGCGTCGCCGTAACCGCGCGTTGCATTATAAAACGTTTCCCATAATGACGTCACACGTGACGTCCCGTGTGACGTCACGATGGTTACTCGTGACGTCACCGCGCGTTGCATCATGGGTAAATTTCCCTGCTAAATTTAGCGGAAAAAAATTCTTCGCTAAATTAAAACATTTCCCTGCTAAATTTAACGGATAAAATTTTCCCGCTAAGTTTAGTGGGAAAAAATTCCCACTATTATGATAAAAATAAGGTCAAGCAGCCCTACAATGTTCCACTCAAGTACCCCTGGAGTACTTGAGTGGAATGTAGTAGGACTAATATACCTACTTGACTAGCACCACAGTTCAAAAAACCCTCCTTTATAACGAAGGTCAGTATACTCAGTAAACAATATTTGGTACATCAGCATCTTCACTACATCAGTACTTTAGGCACCTGTAGCAATATTACAAGCCTACTATTGCAGTTTTATAGAAGAGTACACATATCTGGGCTAGTTAATACAGCGTAACAAGAAATATATGAATACATCAAGGGATAATGAACAGGAAAGAGCGCTCGCTATGTTTCTCTCTTTTACTTGTCCATTTTCCCTGGGGTCTCTGAATTTTTCCAAATACAATTTTCTTTACTTTATTAATACCTAGATCAAATTATCCTTTACTAAAGAAAGGTTCTTACATTCTTAATAAGAGTATTACAACTGTGACTCACCAATTAGGACGGTAGGCTTGACAAACTTTACAATTTCCAGCAGGTTATTCATGTGTTTAGCGTCCTTGGCAAACTTCTCCTTGTGGCTTTGTGTGCTGTCACCGTTGGGCTCACGCCCCTGCAAAAACCATCAACGACGGAATTCCGAAGTCCACTTAATGGCCAGCTACATTCACGTCTTACACGAACAAGAAAACATGCGCAGAGAAACGTAACAGAAGCTCAAACGTGCAACTCCATACTTGTGGGTGGAAGTGTACTAAGCACATATGATATTAATTACAAATGCCAACCTGGAAAATTTTTTTCTGCCTTGCAAAAAATCCTTCCCCAGCGTCCTTCTCTCCATTCCTTCTTGCACGCTTCCCCTTTCTTTTGCAGAAAGGAGCAACTCCATGGAGCTAATCTCTACGGATTCTAGAAGTACTTGACTTCCTTCGTTCTGACTGCACGTCGGGCTTTAAAAGAACAGTGAACTCTCAAAAACGTTTTTTTCTTAAATGTCCGGAGAGGAGAGGTTAACCCCTCAAAAAAACTTTCCCCGAAAACACAAAAAGTATATTTATTTCCTTACGAGACTAATTTTAAGTTAGGAGCAATTACAAACATGCTTTTATTGAATGATTGATATTTTGAAATGGGAATATCTTTCGGAATCTATCCTAAATTAAATTGTGGTTTGAGATGCAATATTGCGCCATACCTTGTTGTTTGTTTGTTTGGACAAATTGTGTTTTGTGGACAAGGAAGTGCCCTGTCAAGGCACTTCAAAAAGTGTTTTTAGTTCAACGTCCTTTTGAGGCAACAAGCAAGCAGACTCTAACGATATGAAATACCCAGTTTGTATTCAATGGTACACATCTGTGAGTCTTTCATATCTTTAGGGACTGCACAACACAAGCCATACACTTTTATATATGTTACAATAAGCTATTTATGCAATTCTAACGACCCCCTTTAGAGATGGCCCTTCTTTTTTTCCAATTGATGAGGACAAAGTAAAGACTAATACAAAAAGCATGATTACGTCAATATCAATCATGTTTCTTAGCCTTTTTTTTTATATAAGAACAAGATGGTGTCAGAATCAAAGAGAACGCTTGGAGTTGTTTTAAGTGCTTATAATCATAAGAGTGTGTGTCACCACATCATATTGTCACGGGTGGTGACCAATAAACAAGAAATAAACAGAAATAAATAAACGTTTAATGTGGCGAACTTGTGCCAAAAATAAAGAAGGAAACAGAAGAAAGCAGAGCGTCTCGGGCGTCGAAGTCGGCGTGTCAGCAGAGTCGAACGCTGGGGCGAAAACTGACTCGACAAGGTCGCGGGCGGCCTCTTATCTAGAGTGCGTCGCTATCTCGAAGATTCGGCGAAAGCGGCTCGAGCGTCGCGTGATCGGGCGAGAATGAACACGCACTTTCTAGAAAACAAAAGCAGGAATTAATGACAGAAGTTACGAGCGGTACATGAATAAACGAGAACTTTCTGGAGGTCCGTGACCGAGCGTTGCTTTCTCAGCCCTGGGCGCGGCATTATCCCCCCCCTTTAAAAGTGCATCGTCCCGATGCAGCACAAAAACGGAAAACAAAAAACAAAAGGACAGCAGAATTGCTAGCCGGAGTTCACAGTCCACAGTTCACTCGTCGACGAGAGTGGAGAGTCCTATCGTTCGTAATACGGCTTCAGCCGGACGACATGCACCACCTCGGGTCGCGGCTGACGTCTTGCAGATGGGCGCGTTCCGTCGGGTAGAACTTCGTAGTTCAGATCGCCGAGGCGTCGGATGATCTTGTAGGGGCCAAAGTAGCGCTTCAGGAGTTTTTCGCTGAGACCGCGACGACGAATCGGCGTCCACACCCAAACTCTGTCTCCGGGCTGGAAGTGGACGTCGCGGCGACGAAGATTATACCGGCGAGCGTCGACATGTTGCTGGTCTTGAATTCGTAGTCTGGCTAGCTGGCGGACCTCTTCTGCCCGTTGAGCAACCACCTGGGCGTCATCGCTCCCGTCGTCGACTGACTCGTGCGGCAACATAGAGTCTAGCATAGTCGTCACCGCCCGGCCATACACCAGCTGGAAGGGCGTCACTCCTGTGGTCTCTTGCACTGCTGTGTTGTAGGCGAACGTGACGTAGGGCAGCACTTCGTCCCAGGTCTTGTGCTCCACGTCGACGTACATGGAGACCATGTCGGCGATTGTTTTGTTGAGCCGCTCCGTCAACCCGTTGGTCTGCGGATGGTATGCCGTTGTTCGACGGTGTTCGGTGTGGCTTAGACGCAGGATCTCTTGGGTCAACTGTGCCATAAACGATGACCCTCGGTCTGTGATCAGTACTTCGGGGCGCCATGGCGGAGGACGATGGACTCGATGAAGAACTTGGCGACTTCGACAGCAGTCCCCGAAGGAAGGGCTTTCGTCTCGGCGTAACGAGTAAGATAATCGGTGGCGACGATTATCCAGCGGTTCCCCATCGTCGACGGTGGAAAAGGACCCAGCAAATCCATTCCAATTTGCTGGAAGGGCTTGGTTGGCGGGGTAATCGGCTGAAGAAGACCTGCTGGCTTTGACGGTGGTTTCTTGCGTCGCTGGCACTCATGGCACGATCGTGTGTAGAGATGGACGGTCTTCGGAAGCTTTGGCCAATAGTACTTGTCACGAATCCGGGCAAGGGTCCTGCTGTAGCCGAGATGTCCGGCCGTTGGGTCGTCGTGGCACGCTTGAAAAATTTCTTCTCGGAGGCTGGCGGGGACAACCAGTAGCCAGGGGGTTTCGCTGGTTCCGAAATTCTTTCTGAAGAGCACGCCTCGCCGCAGGACAAAGCTCGGTGGGTCCCGAGAAAAGACCCGTGGGACAGAGCCTCCTCGACCTTCGAGGCTGTCGATCACGGAGCTAAGTTCCGCGTCGTCGCGTTGCAGTGCCCTCATGTCGGTAGCGTTGACTGCGCCTAGAAAACGGGCGTCGTCATCGTCGTCCGCGCCGGAGATGGGAGGTTCGACTGGAGCCCTAGACAAACAGTCAGCGTCATTATGCTTGCGGCCAGACTTATGCACAGTGGTTACGTCGAATTCCTGCAGTCGAAGGCTCCAGCGGGCGAGGCGTCCGGACGGATCCTTGAGGTTTGCGAGCCAGCAGAGGGCGTGGTGGTCTGTGACCACGCGAAACGGGATCCCGTACAAGTACGGGCGGAACTTGGTTATCGCCCAGACGACAGCAAGACATTCTTTGTCGGTTGTTGAATAATTTTGTTCTGCCTTAGACAGCGCCCGGCTTGCGTAAGCGATTACTCTCTCTGCCCCTTCTTGTCGCTGAACGAGTACCGCACCGAGACCGGTATTGCTGGCGTCCGTGTGGATTTCAGTCTCCGCCGACTGGTCAAAATGTCCGAGGATAGGGGGCGACTGGAGCCTTCGCTTGAGTTCGTCGAACGCTTGCTCTTGCTCCTCTCCCCACTGGAACTGCACGTCGTCTTTCGTCAAATGCGTCAGCGGTGCAGAAATTTGCGCAAAGTCACGAACGAAACGTCTGTAATAGGCGCACAGCCCAAGGAATCTTCGAACGGTCTTCTTGTCTGATGGCTTCGGGAACTCGGCGACAGCGGACGTCTTGGCGGGATCAGGGCTTACACCCTGAGCACTCACGACGTGGCCCAAGAATTTCAGCTCACCATAGGCGAACCGACACTTGGAAGGCTTGAGGGTCAGCCCAGCAGCTTTGAAGGCCTGTAGCACGGCTCGCAGTCGTCTCAGGTGCTCGTCGAATTCGCTTGCGAAGACCACAACATCGTCGAGGTAGACGAGACAGCTTTGCCATTTCAAGCCGGCAAGGACGGTGTCCATAACGCGCTGGAAGGTTGCCGGCGCTGTGCACAGCCCGAACGGCATTACTTTAAACTCATACAGTCCGTCCGGCGTGACGAAGGCCGTCTTCTCACGATCTCGTTCGTCGACCTCAATCTGCCAGTACCCGCTCTTCAAGTCCATCGACGAAAAGTATCGGGCGTGGCGTAGCCGGTCCAGGGTGTCGTCGATGCGTGGCAGCGGGTAGACGTCCTTTTTTGTTACGGCGTTCAGTCGGCGATAGTCTACGCAGAACCGAAGAGTCCTGTCTTTCTTTTTCACCAGGACTACCGGTGAAGCCCACGGACTGCTTGAGGGCTGGACAATGTCGTCGTCAAGCATTTCTTGTACCTGCTGCTGGATGGCTTCCCTTTCTTTCACGGAGACCCTGTACGGCGGCCGATGCACAGGGAGTGCGTCGTCATCAGTAATTATCCGATGTTTCGCAACCGTCGTTTGGCGCACTTTCGACGACGCGGAGAAGCACTCACTGAACTCGGCGAGAAGGTCACGAAGTTGTCGTCGTTGTGGGGCTGGGAGGGATGGGTCGATGTCGAGCTCTGAGGACGTGATTGTCTTGTTCTGCGTCGGAGAGGCGTCTTCTGAGATCACGGCGATCGCGGCTGAGTCTTCAATTTCCTCGACGTAGCCCACAGCTGTACCCTTTGTAAGGGGCTGCGACTCTTGTCGGAAGTTGGTGACAAGGGCTACAGTGCGCCCGTCCTGGAGCTCTGTTACGCCTCTTGCAATGCCAACCCCTCGTCCGAGGAGAAGTTGGACGCTTCCTTCCAGCAGTGCTACACCGCAGGTGGCTCCTTCGGTCCCGACGGGCACAAAGACACTCGACAGCGGCGGCAGGTTTGCGTGGCTGGCGAGGACTCGCACAGCAGCTAACGTCGGTTTGGTATTTTCCACCGATGGGACAGGCTTCCGAAGCGTCAGCTTGTTCTCCGCAAGGTCGATGATGGCGCCGTATTCACACAGGAAGTCCATTCCGAGAATGACGTCCCTCGAACAGTCTTGCAGAACGACGAACTTCACAGGGCATGTTTCGCCGTGAATCTCGACGCGAGCGGTGCATCTCCCGACTGGTGTAATCAGGTGCCCTCCGGCGGTTCTTATTTGTGGTCCATCCCACCGCGTCATGACTTTTCGAAGGCGGCGAGAGAGCCTCCCACTCAAGACTGAGTAGTCTGCTCCGGTGTCCACGAGTGCCGATGAGTCGAGGCCGTCGATAACAACGTTTAGGTTGTTGGACACCGAAGCAGGAGCGTCGTTGTGATGCGTAGCGTCGCGAGAGTGGGAGCGCTCCGTCGTTCTTGGAGGCTCTTTACGTCGGTCGTCTTCGGCAACTCCACCTCCAGGGGTTGCCGCGCCTAGTTTCCCCGGCGAGGAGCGAGGGGCGACAGGCTTTCACGTCGGGGTCGGTGCATGGGCAAAGCTGGACGTCGGGGCGAAGGCGACCGGAACTCTCGGCAGGACGCAGGCTCGGGCGACTGAGGTCGTCGCAGGTACTCGTCGATCTCCGTAGGGCGCTCACCATTACGGGGGCGTGGGTCGTTCGGGTGGAACCCCCGCAGCCCGAGTCGTCGGTATGGGCATTGGCGGTAGATGTGGTTTGCTTCTCCGCAGTGGAAACACAGTGGGCGTCGGTCGGGCGTTCGCCACACGTCGGTCTTCCGAGGTGCGCGGGGCTCTTGGGCGGCGTACTGCACCTGGTCGTCGCGGCGGTGGTCGTGCTGCGGCGCAGGAGAACGACGTCGGAGCGGCGCAACATAGGCTGGAGGAGGAGGCGGTGGCCGTCGGGCCACTGCGGCGTAGGTCAGGGCGGGCTCTTCGGGTGGTGCTACGCAGGCAGGAGCCTCCGGTTGAATTGCCCGCTGGACTTCTTCGCGCACCACTTCGGCGATCGACAGCTCAGCCGGCTGGTTGGCAGCAGGCAGCAGCTTCCGGAGCTCCTCCCGGACGATGTCGCGGACGATTTCCCGAAGGCCGTCGACACCGGTGGCGTTCAGGTCTAGTCGGCAAGATGCGGCGGTTCGAGGAGCAGGCACGCCGGCGAGTCGATGGTAATGGCTTGCTCGGGCCGACAGCGCTCGCTCGATGTTAGTGGCTTCAGCCACAAAACCGTCGACGGTTGTCGGGGGATGGCGGACAAGGCCCCCAAAAATTTCAGCCTTCACGCCACGCATAAGGACGCGAAGCTTCTTCTCTTCGGCTGCCTCCGGATCGGCTCGGGCGCATAGGCGCATGACATCTTCTACGAAGCTTGTCACGGTTTCGTTGGGGCCCTGCACCCTGGTTTGAAGAAGGTCCTCTGCTCGCTGCCGACGGTGGTGGTTGAGGAACGTTCGCTTCAACTCGGCGGCGCAGGACTCCCACGTAGTGAAGGACGCTTCGTGGTTTTCAAACCAATGCCTCGCTGTCCCTTCGAGTGCGAAGTAGAGATTGTGGAGGCATTGCTCAGTCGTCCATCCGTTGTGGCGGGCTACACGTTCATAGTGTTGCAGCCAGTCTTCAATGTCCTCGTGGACGTCTCCGTGGAACGGCGTTGGAGTCATGGGTGCGACCGGCAGGTACACGACGGCAGAAGCGGCCGGGGTCTGCGCCTGGTTGGCCATCGTCGTCTTCGGCTTAGTCGTGGGTGGCAGAAGTCCGTGTTCCGGGGGTAGACCTCGGATGCGGCGACTTGACCGGGTCTCGATCTGGTCTTCGTCGGGTCCTCCGGAGCTTGGGTTTGGACTTGTGCTGCGGGAACTTGGCGGGCTGCGCTGTACGGACATGCGATTTACCCCGCACCTCCACCAGAATGTCACGGGTGGTGACCAATAAACAAGAAATAAACAGAAATAAATAAACGTTTAATGTGGCGAACTTGTGCCAAAAATAAAGAAGGAAACAGAAGAAAGCAGAGCGTCGCGGGCGTCGAAGTCGGCGTGTCAGCAGAGTCGAACGCTGGGGCGAAAACTGACTCGACAAGGTCGCGGGCGGCCTCTTATCTAGAGTGCGTCGCTATCTCGAAGATTCGGCGAAAGCGGCTCGAGCGTCGCGTGATCGGGCGAGAATGAACACGCACTTTCTAGAAAACAAAAGCAGGAATAAATGACAGAAGTTACGAGCGGTACATGAATAAACGAGAACTTTCTGGAGGTCCGTGACCGAGCGTTGCTTTCTCAGCCCTGGGCGCGGCAATATTTAGTTGCACACCAAAAGACGTCTGCCACAATCATAATCTGACACAGAATTGCAAACAGTTTGTAATTTACTTACAACCAAAGCTGGCCTTGCCTGCAAAATGTTGAGAAAGAGAAAAGCATAAAACGTGACTTTTCAGCATTTTACAAGAAATGTGAAGGCTTAGAACGCCAGATTAAGCTTGAATTGAAGAGACCACTAATGCTTCTCGGCTGAAACCTCACAAAGTTAAAGAGCATCAACGTCCACTGCACATGGTAGGCTTCGCAAAGTAAATGCAGCCGACAAACAAATAGCCTTAGATACCACAAAGATAGCCTCCTACCTTCACGATGAGACCCCTGGAATCGAGCATCCAGATCCGGTTCCTGGCCTCTTCTTGGGTGGCTCCTTCCTTGACCATTGCCATGACGAGAAGCTCAGCAATGCCCAAGGATGCCTACAACAAAGAATTTATTTTCAAGCCATGACACAGATTTGTGGCACATAAGCAAGTGATGTTAATGCAGGCAGAGCAAAAAAAAATGACATCTAGAAATTGGATGCTTAGGTTTCTTACAAATGATCATCTTTTAGTGATTTGTGTCAAGCACTAAAGCTCAGTGTCATAAAATTATGTAGAATTGTCATCAGGCTGTTTGCAGTCGTCTTTAGAGACGATATAAAAAAGAAACTCATGGTGTGTGAAAAGCTTAATGTTAAAGTCAGTAGGGTGTAGAAAGCTAATAAATCCTAGTCATTTTTCAACTTCATTATATGTGCCTTAGTTATAAAAAAATAAATACTTCAATGTTTGCAGTGAAACGTCCTGAAAGAAGCACATTATGGCAGACATCTGCTCGACTTCTTGCGCTATATTGCATTTCTAACGTCCAGCGGTCTTCAAACATCTGTCACTTTTGCAATAACGTGTCACAACCAAACCTTTCACCGTTTCACATAAATATTAATTAAGTAAATGCAGCAGATTTAAGGACACTAGAGCATACAAAAGGTTAAGTGCCTGCTTTTTACTGAAAGCTAAATATCTTGAAATTGGTACTAAAGCTGTAACAACACTCCCAGATAGAATATTGACGGAACCCTTTGAGACTCCCCGCGTTTTGGCCCTTTCTGTGCAGCAACGGTCTCAGGTTTTCCCAATGTCGATGCTTCAGCAGCTTGCCCCTCTAGCATTCTTCAAGATTCCATAACTCGGAAGAAAAAAACAACCCGTATTTGGTGTGCTAAAATATAGAGTGGGTTGCAACCAGATTTTACCCACCTCTCCCGCCCCCATGAAGAGGATCTTATTAGAGGCCAGGCTTGTCTTAGTGATCTTCATGCTAGCCAACAATCCTGCCACAGCAACAGATGCAGTGCCTGCAGAGGATGGTTCATTCTCTCTCAATCACTGGTCTGCATATGGAATGAAGGAAAGGGAGGCTTCACCCTTTCTCAATATCCAAGGGTTTTCCTTAAACATTGCTTTCATGACATTCTAATTAGGGATACAAATGACAAATATTTCGAATTCAGACTGAACATGAATAAAGCAAAAAAACTGACTTTGAATGGCAAATCCAATGTCAATTTGCATATAATAAAAAAAGTAGCTAAGATTTTAGATTATACATGTACAAGTTTCAAGCTAATACTGTGTAGTAGCTACATTTATCAGCCGACCGATAAATGCTAGTCACCTGCAGTCTGAGTGCTCTAGTTTTGACCATTGGCTTGTTAATAGCTTATGAAACAGCACATTAATCTTTGCAAGTAAATTGACACAGGCATCTGAGTGAGTCGTGAATGGGATGATCGCTGCACACCAGACATACTCAATGATCCTAACTTTCTGCATGAGTGTATGTCTGGACGAGTGAGAGAAAATTGAACTTTACCTTGAATATCATCATTGAAAGTACAATAACTGTTCTTGTACTTGTCCAGCAACTTGAATGCATTCCTGTTCCCGAAGTCTTCAAACTGAATCAGACAGTTCTTTCCAAACCTGAGCAAGAAAGGGGAGAATGCATTACTCAGCCAATTTCATGACAATCACCACATGATGTTACAACAGAGCAAAATATTAAGGCATGCAGACCCAGGATGAAGTTATATACTTACATATTCATTGTCAACTTTACATGTTCCATTAGTAATTGATTTGTTAACTTCCTTATGCATACTAATGTGTCTATTGCAGTCCGATTTATTTGTAGGTTTAGTCCTGATTAACTGAATCAAAGAAACTTTTAGCCCACATCAACCCAGTTGAGGCTACAATTCATTACCGCAACATAACAGCAGCACTTCAATGTTGAAAACAATCCTCTAATATATTTTCATAAAATTCTTGAACATAAGTTTGCATCCAACTCATGCACACATGAATTACAAAAACCCAATTATTCCTTAATGTCAGGGTAATTATAACAATGTCCACAACCAGTACCTGAACGAGTGTGCAGAGTGGCATTTAAGAAAGTCTTTCTTTCAGGAAATATTTTCTTGGCGACCTAGAGGGTGTCTGAGTGAAGTCTGATCAGTGTTTTTCTCACTAGAAAAACAAACTATGCCTCACCAGACACACAATCTCTTCACGAAGGTAGCAGAAGCGGTTAAGATAAGGGCAAAATTTAACAACCTAGCGTTATCTAATTTTAAAAGTTCGGGGAATTTTCAAATATTTTCACTAACACAATTCAACAAACAGAGACCACGAATACACATATTGTATGTGCATTCGTGGGCTCTGCTACTGGAAGAGGTTCCGTTTCCTTGTTAAAAAGTTCCCAAAATTACTTTTAACTTTTTAATTAAATAAAGTCAGTCTTGAAACTGACTTTTTCTTTCAACAGCTAGCGTTATATTTAGGTAGAGACAAAACATTTTGTGATGCAAATACCGCTAAGACCGCATACCCAAAATGACGAGAAAAATGGTGAGACATGGGGTGGGCTATCTCTAAAAATGGGACAGCAAAATTCTATTAAAAAATTAGTGATAAACATCAGGGCACCAACTACAAACCACGTGACAAGGAAACGGATACCGCAGGTCGCGGACACAGCAATTTGCGTACGACGATGAGATAAACACGGTGGAATTCGGGGGAATTCACTACGAACTCTTGCCTTGCGAAATAAGCACTCGCCACCGACTGGATTCGCTCGCCGAAAAAAGATCGGGCCGTTCACATTTGTTGCCGCCTGCAGAATGTGCGGCGCGAGCGCCTCGCAGTTTCGCGAACAGACGAGAGCTGACGAGAGCTCCCAAACCTCCTCCTTGCCCGCGCGCGTCTCGTCGCCATCGTCGCCAGCTCGTCAGCGGGGATCTGACGTCAGCAAGCGCGACTTCCCCCGTGCGTTCAGACTGGCTTGCGGCGAGCAAAAACGTTTTTCCGGCGTTCAAAATTGGTCTCATGGTTCGTTCACACTTGCGAAATACGCACTTGCCGCCGACTAGATTTGCTCGCCGAAAAAAGATCGGGCCGTTCACATTTGTTGCCGTCTGCGGAGTGCGCGGCGCAAGCGCCTCGCAGTTTCGCGAACAGACGAGAGCTGACGAGAGCTCCTAAACCTCCTCCTTGCCCGCGCACACCTCGTCGTCATCGTCGCCAGCTCGTCAGCGGGGATCTGATGTCAGCAAGTGCGACTTCCCCCGTGCGTTCTCTCGCCGCAAGCCAGTCAGAACGCAGGGGGAAGTCGCACTTGCTGACGTCAGATCCCCGCTGACGAGCTGGCGACGATGGCGACGAGGTGTGCGCGGGCAAGGAGGAGGTTTAGGAGCTCTCGTCAGCTCTCGTCTGTTCGCGAAACTGCGAGGCGCTTGCGCCGCGCACTCCGCAGACGGCAACAAATGTGAACGGCCCGATCTTTTTTTGGCGAGCGAATCCAGTCGGCGCCGAGTGCGTATTTCGAAAGTGTGAACAAGCCATGGGGATACCGCAGATCGCCGACGCAGCAGATTTGCACTTCAAGGTGCAATGAACACGCGGGAACCTGCTACTAACTTACGTGTCACGGGAACTGATATCGCGTGCACAAATCGAGGACCGAAAGAAAAACAAACAAAAAAAGATACACGGAAACTCGCTACGAACCTGCATCTTACCTGAACGAATACCGCGGATCGTGGACGCAGCAGACTCGCATTTCACGATACAAAAACACGCTGGGAAAACTCGCGTTTCACAGAAACCGATATCGCCCAAGCAGATCGCGGGAAAAAAAAACGCGGGAACTCGCTACAAATTCGCTTGTCACGCGTATCGCAGATCACACGGTTGGCGTCATTCCTGTCGGACATCGCGTGATCTCCAACCAACAATTATGGAAGGGGGAGGATGTCTTGGAAATTATATGTCATGGATATTTAGCCAAAAAAACGAAAGGGCGATCTCTCGGGGGAAGGCGTCCATACGGGATTTTACGCCATTTTATTTTAGAGTGAGAAAACACGGTTTAGATTTCTATCAAGCAAATTACGCTTCTACAAACCGCCATTAAGACGGTAGTCACACACCTTTTCGCAGCAGCTTGCATGAATTCATCCACGAAGTCGTCGTACTGTGCTCCCCTTACTCTCTTCTGCCTAAGGCCAATGTAGTAAGGGTCAGCAAGGAGGATCTGGAACAATTTTTAAATGCCTTCAGTGAACAGTGGCCTTCAGTGCACACCTGTCTCCAGAAAGTAACAATATGCCCTAAGGCGTACAGGGGTGACAGTTGATCATTACTTTGAGTTTAAATGCACAACCGCACCCCGTTAGCCCAAGGAGCCCCACTGCATTGTGAAAGATGCTGATTAGCTACAAAAGTTGCAGCGAGGCAGACAATCTCCCTAATTTCTTTCCTTGCATTTATGGAAGGAAAAAGGAGTTCCTTCTGTGTGTATTTACAAAACAACAGTTCCATATTTTTATGAGAATTAAAATTGCACTGAAGGGTAAGTTGTATCGAGAATCTGATGTGTTAACCCTTTGACGGTAATCGCCGTACATGTAAGGTGGCGATTACACATTTCAAAGTGCCCGCTTAAACACAAAACTGCACGCACCGTAGAAGGTATTGCTATTTGTTATATTTTCGGCAAACTACAAACGTTACATTCGAACTGTTTCACTCGGCTAAAGCTATTTATGGTTCTTTTTTTTTTTTTAGAGCGCAGCTCTTAGGCGCTTGTTTCCGAGTTGAGCGGCGTCGGCGTCCGCATAACCGCGCGCGCTGCATTATGGGACGTCACTGTATTTCCGCTAAATTTAGCGCAGAAACTGAATTGGTGTTCAGGTCACGTGACGTCAATTAGCAGGTTAAGGTTCCCCGCTAATTTTAGCGGGGAAACTTAACCCGCTAAATTTAGCGGGAAACAAAAATGTTCGCTATATTTCCCGCTAACTTTAGCGGGTTAAGTTTCCCCACTAAATATAGCGGGGAAACTTATCGCCTTCAATCTTTGTAAATGATGATTCCAAACCTGAAAAACTTGCAAGCGCTGTAAGTACTCCAATTCTATAATTAAAAACAAAACATTTGCATTGAGTTTCTTTTTTTATTATTATTCATTTTGAAACAAAACCGGACCACAGGGTAACATATTCTGGGAAAACAAACTTGACCGTCAAAGAGTTAATTGCGAGGATGACTTATCCACCCGCACCACCAACACAGCCAATCACCAAGGAGCACACAAAGGAATGCAAGGAGAGAGGCAATGAACCCATCTCAAAAGTTAAATGGCAGCTGGTGAATGTCAAAAAATATTCCATAACTTCCACAGTAGCAATGGCCCCGGAAACACTGGTGCCCTGGCGACGACTTTGTAGATTTTTGCAGGTATTCCTAAATCCCTCTGAAGGAATGCATTCACTCTCAAGAAAAAAGGGTGTAAAAGGGTGTATCGTTACACCCTTTGGCCCCTAAAATACACCCCAAAACTTCAATTCGACGTACAGCAGCCTACAATCGAACAGACGACCCCAAAGTTTACGAAGGGCTTGATAACGGTGCGATATAACTTTTTAAATAGCTAAAGTATGTATCAAAGACCACATAAAGAAAACACCGAGTTTTTACAGTAGGGCCAAGAAAACCCCAATTATTTTTTTTGTTGTTGTTGTCAGTAAAACGTACATTAGCTATTTTAATAAGTTGTACCACACGGCTATCAAGCCCCTCGTAAAATTTCGGGCCGTCTGTTCGACTGTAGGGCGCTGTGCGTCTAATTGAAATTTTGGGGTGCATTATATGGGACAAAAGGTGCAACGATAACCATTTTACTCCCTTTTTTCTTGAGAGTGTTCCCCGCTGCCTACTTCACAGTTTTGTAGGCTTTTGAAGTTGGTGGAATGTGGTAGCCTCTCTGCCCTCAGTACAGCTAGACTGCAAAGGGATTCGAGTATCTAAATATACAATTTTCAGAGTGCAAACGAAAAAACAAAAGCCTTTCTCTGACAGCTGCCAAATGAGATATAATGCAACAGCAACTGGAATCCTTTGCACCTCTCCAGACATCCGACAAACTCGGTGCTCCTGGTCTGCCATAGATCGGTGCCATCTTCGCGCCAACTTTTACTGAATTGAATTGGTGTATAACTGTGCACCAACTCAAGTTTTCCCCCTATATTGAGCGAGAAAGCGATTTTCGCTAGGTTTAAAGAGGAAACCGAATTGCACCAATTCGGGTGCTTTCCCCTAAATTTGGCGAACCAGCTGCGATAGACGGGCGCACATAACCTCAAGGTTTGGTGGCCCTAGAAATGCTGTCGCGTTTGAAATAGGTACAACCTAGTAGATATAAACAACCCCGCACCTCGTTGTTAGTGCCCAGGTCTAGCATGACTGGCAGGGTGCGTTCAGGGTGGATGCCTGCCAAGGCAGTGTACAAGGCCAGCTTGCCCACGGGGATGCCCATGCCGTTGGCGCCGAGGTCACCCAAGCCCAGGATGCGCTCGCCGTCCGTCACCACAATGGCCTGGTTAAAGGGAAGGAAAATGCATGTTACCAAGGTTAACCTCACTGAAAAGATGGTGCGACAAACATGCACAAAAATCTACATTCTAGCACGTGTATATAGGCGCAATTTGACGACTTATACACTATGATTGCCAACTTTATACATATGTCGAGAAACACTAAGGGCAACTGCAATATTTTTAAACAGCTTTTTAAACGAGTTTCAAGACTGCTTCGGCAGCTGAAAGTTTGAGAAGTCATTAACCCCTGTAAAATAAAAATTCAAAACTGCACCTTTTGATAATATCCGGCAAGGTCCATAAGCTTTGCCAGTATTATCAATTGATTATAAATTTAATATTTACAGTGATGCGATTGGTCTAAGCCGTTCTGGAGCACCTTTCGGAGCAGACAAAACAGTGTTTTGGAGCAGCAAAATTGGCCTTTGGAGCAGCCAAAACATAGTTTTGGAGCAGCCAAATCAGTGTTTTGGAGCAGCAAATGTGGCTTTTGGAGCAGATATTCTTAGAAAATTATAAATATTTCTTTTAAGTGCTGGACAGATGAAGGGCACTTTGCTCGCCGCAATAAACAAATTATGGTCAAGTTAGACCAGCTCGGAGTCTTTCAACATGTTAACTGAAATGCCAATGACATGACACACTTTGCAATGCTTCAGTTAAATGATAAACATATGCATGTACCCGCTATCAATAAATAAGAGCCAAACTGCACATATTAAAATTTATTTGAAAATGACCAGCTTAGTAGAAAATATCACAGCATTAGGTTTTACTAGTTATATAATATAATAAAGCGAAGCAGTCTCCAACTGATCAAACACCTAACTACTGCAGTGCAAAGCGGAACAGTACACAAGAAAAAGTTGCATTACGACTAGCGGGTGCTTTTCGTTTCGCTTTTCGAAACTTTCTGCAAGGCTGCTGCAAGCCTCGCTTTGCCTTCGACAAGTAATGAATGTCCAATTTCAATGCCTCCAAAGAGACATTGCGACATCCCGCTGCAGGCGTTGCCAAGCAATTCCGTAAAGCCGCTTGCCAACATTTTACTGTTCCCGACGTGCCAGATTTTCGTTAAAATAAGCAAACGTAAAGCAATGGATTGCAAGCGACCCGGCTGGTGCCTCTCTCGTGCAATAATGTTCGCATGCACGTGAGGGCAACTTCGGCAGCTTGCAGTCGCATGTGCTTCGTCGCGCGAGCGGAGACGGCTGTTCAATCGAAACCGAAACCATGCCACTCCGCTCCCTGGCCAACTGGTTCCCAAAATTGTATGCAAAATGTAACTGTCCAGCAGCGCGTGCTTGCCAGGCCTGCAGACGAGATGCAAGCTAAACACACCGGAAAAAAAACGAGCCTGAGCGCGTCGATGCAAGACATGGCGAGCCAGGGTCAAAAAGTTGGAGCGCTTTGTGCAACGACTGAACTAGAGACAAACAAACGCGCTGTGCGGGTTCAGCGTGCAGGCATTGCCTTTTTTGCTTTAGCTCACTTCTCTTCACCAACTTTCTTTTGCGGCAGATTTTTTTACGTACCCGGGTCCCTCTCGAAAGAAAGCCCACCGAGAGAAACCTAGGTAATCAATACTTCGACACAGCAGTCTGAGTTAAAGAAGGATTTTTGTAGTAGCATAATTTAAACAATAACAGGATGTTGATGACCTTGCGGAGGTCCTTACGTTTCAGTTTAGAAAGCGCCATATCGGCAGCGACGTGGGCACGGCAACACCCGACGTCATGCAACCACGGTGACTGGTAGGCAGGGACCAAATATAGTTTTCCGACAATCATTGCTTTGAGTCCATATCACATGAGCGAATGACGTTTTAGCGGAGAGCAATAATTGAACAAATCGTAAGCGCAGCGCGCGCCGCAAAGCGCCGCGCGCTGCGCTTACGACGTTTTGCGGCGACGGCCTGCGGCGGCTCATTGCAAAAATGTGAACCCACTTGTCCCACCCCAAAACGCCGCTTTGTTGCGTCCGACAATTCGCTGTCATTCCGTGAAACGTGGGCATTCGCTAAAACGTCATTTGATCAAGTGAGTGCCTCCCTACGGCATGGCTGTACCCGGCACGCTAGCGTCGAAGCGTTAGCACACGGTTGCATCAGCGCTTGCACCTATCGTTGTAAAAATTTAAGACGCAAGACGAGACCCACGAGACAACTAGGGCGCAAAACGAGAAACGGCGAGAAAAACCATGCAAGACCGGATGGACGATTGATGCAAAGTACTTTGTGTCGGGCGGCCACTTGCGCCAGCTAGCTCAGTCATGCTCAATTACGGTATTCAGTTTAGTTTCGGTTCTGAAAGGCGACCGACATTGGTCCTTTGGCGCAGCCTTGGCGCAGATTACCCATTTTTGGGCAAAATGTTGCAGGATGTATCAGGGTTAGCCCCTTGGCGCAGTTTGGCGCAATTGGCGCAGCAATCACATCACTGTATTTATGTTACAAGACAGACGTTAGTCTAAAATATTAAAAATAAAATCAATGTTCTACCTATCTAATGAATGGTTTATTGCAAAATAAGTACGAAATATTTGCATTCTCTATTTGTTAAGCGGTTATATTGTATGTTCACGCTACAGGTGAGTTAAAAATATCTCCACCCGAATTAATATTGTGTCACTTTTTCTGCAATACCTTCCATTTCAATAATACTCATTCAGTATTCATGTTAAGTAATCAGCCATATTCAGGACATACCCAGCAGTGGGGCACGTATCTGACAAAGCACTTAGAAATGCACATCTGATTCAACTTTTAATAGAGATAAAAAAGGCGAAACACTTCATGTTCAATTGAAATCCCACTACAATATGTAGCTGAATATGCGATAAATATGTCAAAATGTTTCGTTCTAAATATGCATCACAAATTTGTTATAATCTCCCAATGTTCGTTTATTTCAGGACATGGAGTGCACAATATCTGTAAAGCAGAATATGGAATTGATAACCAACCAGAAGAGCTAATTTTGAGGTTTCCGTTTACATCAAGTTTATTACAAAACCTTGAATGCGCCTTTCGAAAGAGCTTTTTAAACTACACCAAATATTGTCAAAAATCCCACTTTTCATTTCTTTTCTGTCTTTTTTTTAATATTTTGAAACATAACAAATGTTTAGAAACCATTTACCATCGTAACGATAATTTGGGAGTGTTCAAGCAAAACTTAGTATTACAGCACTTTTCGAGTGAAAAAGAGGGAGGGGATCAAACATGCAACCCCCATATGAAGGAGAAACGTCCGTTACTGCCTCGACTGCTTCAATGGTTTCAACATGAAACTATAAAAAAATGCGCCAAACTTACGCTTCGCGTACCTGAGTTGAGTTGAAAACACCCGAATATATAGCCTGACCATTTCTCCCCACCACCAACAAAGTTGTTTTTCTACGCGCACAACTCAAGAAAATGAGTTTCTACCACGAGTGAATATATTATTTTTCTTTTAAATTCCAACAGAAAAACAGTGCAGTTGGAACTGGATCATGAAACTATACCAAGCTGGGTCCAGCTGAGACCAGTTCCATAATTCATTTTCAGCTCGACTGACTTGCACCTGGTATGGCGAAGAAAAAGGCTACACGCTGTAGTATCCATAAAAGCGATTCGAACGGCCTGTCATGGCGGTACCCCACCCGCAATCGTGAACACGCTCACCGTCTCTCTACCCGCATTACAATTTACTCCGCTGCGGAAGAGCGTAGCTCCGGCTATGATGATGCAAGAGCATCTATTACCTTCATATTCAAAACAAGATCCCATCACTGTCATGTAAGACCTTACGCAAGTACGCGCGTTGCGCCGTGTTTTCCTGCCAATAAAACGCGCACAACTCAAGAAAATGAGTTGCGGAACAATGTGGTTTATGTGTCTATGGAAATGGGCATGGGCAATAAGCGCGCCACGTTTTCCACAAGCTGATCCGTGTTCTACAGAACAATAGGCTGGTGGCAGCTCTCTACTACGTCTAGGTCACGTAGAGGTGAACCACCAGTTTTATTTTTGCTGCATGGCTTATTTCTAGAACATGTTCGTAGCCCCGAGAGTAGAACCAAATATTTACAAAAAGATATCGGTAAATGTTGCTACTTTTAGCACACTGGTCATACAATACATCCTCCCCCCACCCTCCCCCAATTGGAGGGGCTGTGACAACACCCCTTGAAAAATATATTTAGATAGACGACAGAACTGCAGTTCACTGATTGGGCACGATCATTGCGACGTTGTCCAATCAGACACATATATACAATCAACATATCTGGACAAACTCCAGCATGGCAATATCTCGTGGGAGTGTGCATGATCATCACGTAGCGAGGTGACTGGCCCGAGCCATATCGGAGCACATATAGAACCAGCCAAAAGTATAATTTAAAGCGGTAGAAAACATTTGAAGCAAACGCCTAGAATGCATGCGTATTTGTTCCATGCGCTCTTAGTACTTAAGGCTCGTCCAAATAAAAGGCGATGCCTTTTTTGCCTTCCCCGCTTCTGTGCCACTCATTCGCCTCCCTATCCAGCAGACGGTTTGATTCTATCTTAATTGTTACTTGAACCAGACACGAAACAAACAAAAAGAACATTCTAAAAACATACTTTTCGTTTTCTTTTTTTAAGTTTTATTTTAGTAGCTGCTTTACAAACAAATCTTGATTGATAAAGGGCGTTCCCGACTCGTTCCTGGCGCATGTGTGTGCAGCATTTCGCTGTAAAGAAGTGTCTTTCTTCGAACGTCGCGATGTCGATTCCGCGAATGTCGTTTCTCTGCAGCATAGCGGTGCTCGGTGAGAAGCGCACTCAACGAAGCTGGCCAACCCGCCCGAAAGGACCAGTACAACGAGAAATATTGGAGAAGTTCCGAGTATGGTGAAATGTTCTATACAAAGATCGTATCGACCAGTATATCATTCAAATCTATAATATTTCTTTTATTTTTTTTTAACGGAGTCTGAGTTTAAATTTTTTGCATGGAGAAAACGAAATACACTTTTGGCGCAATGTTGGCGCAAATTTCTTCCTTTTTGGCGAAACGCAGCAGCACACGGGAGGGCAAGTCCTTTGGCGCCGTCTGGCGCAAAAACACCAGCAATCACATCACTGCGTCATATTACCTCTGATCCACCGACACCACCTGCGGGGTCCCCGCTGATCGAGTGTGCTGCTTCAAAGATTGGCACTCTCGCACCTGCTGTGGTCACTGACGAGATGAGAACGGCAAGGAGAAGTTGCAGGTGTCCCGCCTCTAGCGTGAGATTCTTACTTTCGACGACGCTTCGGCGTCTCTTGACCTTCGAACGTGCAGCACAGCAAAAAGTACACCCGAGAAATGAGAACCGCGTTTGTCGGAACTGGGTAAATAAACTACGCATCGCAGAAAGCTCCAACTCCGTGAGAATGTGACGCTAGCAGTTGGGGTAAAAAGCGAAAGTTTCAGAACACGACGTTCCCTCAATTACAAGAAAATAGATACAGACAAAATGTCTTCATGATTCGACGTCTACCACGTTTAATGTCATCAAATTAAGAAATGACACTTTGGGCGCCTGTAGCATCTAGTTCAGTGGGGGGAAAAAACGTGAGCAGGAAAGAAATTGATATTCTCTCTCCTGCGTACAAGTGCTTTTTACTGATATAAATGTCACGTGGGCCCGCAATCCCAGTTCTTTTGACGGCATTAAATTTCGGTGGGCACCAGCTCATAGAGAAGTTTTGTCTTTCTTAACTATATTTTGATCCAAATAACATGATTTGCTCAAACTTTAACACTCTGTCCCAACCACTTGCATTACATTATCACAGCGTTTGACCTTTCTGCGATGCATAATTTATTTACGTGGGCCAATAAAAAAAAAAACAAAAAAAAAAAACGGTGTTCTTTTCTGAGGAACACCCTGTACAACAAAAGGCACCGAGCATGTGCTGGAGGCTGGGCGATCGAAAGAGATGCACTGTTGCTTTCACCTAGTCACGGACGGGACGAGAACTGCAGGGCTCTCTTTTCGATGCCCTGCCTCCAGCACGCGCCCGTTATGTTTCGCCGTGACGCGTAGCTGCGCGTGTACGCTCGAAGCCCACTAGACGTCGAAGCGCTATCCGGAGCGCAAGTTCGTCTGCTTCTTGCACAGGGGTTGCCATGATGTCAGAACGCCGAGCTCTTCTTGGCTGATTGAACGAAAATAGTGGGTAGACCTCAAGACATTCAGCATTGAGGTCTACCCACTATCCTTTCAATCAAAGTGAATCAGAGCTCTGCGTCGTTTCGACGTCACCGCAACTTCCTGTGCAAGAAGCAGTCGACTTGATCTTCACATAAAAGGTAGAAAGCTCGCGCTGGACGCGGGGCCACTGGAAGACCTCACTTCCGTTCTCACCACCATCATCATCATAACCCCCCCCCCCCCCCCCCCCCCCCCAACCTTGTGACAATAGACTTTGGCAGTTTCGCACCCTTAAAGGGCAACTCCACTCCATTTTTACCATTTTTGGGTTATGGTCTGTTTAGTCGAAGCCGGCGACCCTGAATCACGAGATATAATTCGTTTTTCGGTAGTGTGCATAGTTTTGTAGATATCGCGAATGCAAGAATCGGTCCGGCGGCACGGCGAAACCGAAACTACTGGTTGAAGCAGCTTGGCAACACTGATACTAGTGGCGCGCCGTCGGCATGACCTAGTTCTGGTCCCGCGCTTCTGAGCCGACGCGCCGACAAGGTCGGCTCAGTCGCACGTGGAGTTTCAAAACAGAAGGTTAGATGCGCATTTTCTTTCTTTACCGCTTCACTTTGGTAATATGCACCAAATGTAGTAATTTTTAGTGTGTATTTATAAATTTGCCGGCCGAAAAGCGAATCCGACTGCTATAAATATGACGCGGTCGGTGCCGGCGCAGCGTGACTGTATTTGTTTCTTGCGCGCGGACCGAGAAAACGAAATAATGGGAGATAGATTGACAGATCTATCCACAAGTGGCCTAAGTTGTTAAAGCCAAGGTGCCTTTATGTGCACGCTAGTTAGATCAGCCGCGACCTGCTGCGTCCGGCCGATCGTGCTGGAGCAGCCGGCGGACGGTACGCGAACAGCGATGGCACCGCATCGTTCTTCAAAGACGCCTGTTTCGTGGTGAAACCCGCAAAAGTCAGCAGCCGCAGATCCCGTGTGTAGGTGTCTGACGTAAAGTGCTGGGAGCAGAGCTTCGCGTTGGAGCTCCGAGTCAACGGTCTTCCGAAGTCTATCCGGCGAACGGCACCGACCCACACCTTGTGCCTCTTCCGGTCTCTTGGGAACTGGTGGAACCGCAGCTCCGGGTTGCGCACCGGGTTGGTGCAACCCACAGCACTACAAGTCCTGCTCGACATTGCCCAACGCGAGACCGGCGAATCTCTCCGGCTCCACGACGAGCGCGTGAGCGAGCAGCACCGCTTTGCTCTCTTCCGCGCTGTCGCGGAAGCAATGCTGGAATTAAAGGAACTGCCTGGACGCTAATAAAAATAGGAGAACACAGGATAATGTGGTAAACACCTCGTGCCGTCAGCAGAATCGCAGAATGCCACGGGAAACGAAGCGTTCGCGGCGTCCGTACGAGAGCGTAGGACTAGACCTACGTCATTGCCCAGTGTTGCTTCACTAGCTCACCCGGTGCCAGCGTTGCTCACCCGCTTTCGGGCCGCTAACCGAGCCGGGAGAGCATTTTTAATATTGGTTTTAATCGGTAACGCGGCGTCGGTTTGACGTGATATTTTGGGTATGACCGTATTTTGACCTCCTAAAGCGATATCAGGCATTTCGATAGGGTCGACTTTTGGAGTGGAGTTGCCCTTTAACTGCGATTTGGGATACGCATCAGAGTTAACAAAAACGTAGGCAACTATACACGCACGTAGCCAGGTTTTCGTTAGGGGGGGGGGGGGGGGGGGGGGGGGCTGCCCATGACAAAAGGCTGTATGAGGTGGAGGGGGGAGAGGAGGCCCCAGCAAAATGGAAGATTTCGAGGGGGGGGGGGCCGTGCCCCCCTCCCCCTGGCTACGTGCCTGCAACTATATATACACATACGTCCACTTCCTTGTCGGGCCAGTTGCCCATGATCTCGTAGAGCCTCCCGGCGTCCTGGATGGTGAGGAACAGCCCCTTGGGGCGCCTGAAGATTAGGCTGTACTTGATGCACGCCTCGCCCACCACCGGGGTGTACACGAGCGGCATCAGCTCCTCCGTGTACTCCTTGAGCACGCGGAAGAACAGCTTCTCGTTGTAGTCCTGCAAGAGACCAAGGTCTCTCATTAGGTCTGGAGTGGGCCTCTCAAGCTGTAGTATACTTCGTTTCAGCTTCAGTCCGAGCGCGGCCGATGTTATGAGCCGAAGGGCCAATCAAACAGCTCAAAAAGCGCAACGTCCTGGCGTGCTATCTGCACTTGATGGGACTAGCCGGCGGAGGAGCACGCACAAAGAGACGGCGGATACCGACTGGTCCTATCAACTGCAGAGAGCACGCCATGAAGTTGAGTCTCTTTCGTTGTTTGATTGGCCATTCGGCTCATAACATCGGACGCGCTCGGACCTAAGCTGAAACGAAGTATAGCTTCGGGGTCAGTTCATCGGAAAGAGTAAAAGAAGGCCAGTAGCCCGAAAGGTTTCTCAACCAAAGAGCATTCGCTTCGCACGTAAAAACTGAGATCAAGCAGATAACAAATAACGAAAAGGTTAAT